CGCTAAAACTACAAGAAAACTTCTAAAATGGTAGGGTTCATACAAACTTTTATCCGCTACTATGGAATGAATTTCGAAAAATGCTAAAACATGTATTTAATTAATTGTATTGAAGTGCATTAATACCAAGTTTCAAGTAATTCTGATCATTAATATTTTTTTGATTGTATTATAACGTGTTTTCCAGTGGGAAAGACATAATCTCCCGCGGTAACCAAACTAGGCCTCCAACTATCTCCACATAAAAAATCATGCCAATTCGCCAAGCCGTTTCGACGTGAAAGAAAGACAAACAAACAAACACACTTTCATATTTGTAATATTACTATGGATGTATAGATTTAATCAAATTACTGTTCTAAATTCAAAATACGACCCTCGAGTGGCACATACTCGTACACTCGGAGAGGCGCGCTATTACGAGTATAACAAAACTGTAGGTGGAAAAAATAGGCATTAACCCTATTTTTATATAGGTATTTATTAAAACATCCTTCTTTATCCATATATGTACAGCAACCTTCATTACATTGAGTTACATTTAATAATAGAGAATTTAATTTATAATATACAGGATCATTTTTAATTTACTGAAAACCTTTTGGTAATACACTATTTACAACATAATAACAACATCTGTAATAAAAAAATATACCTTAAATTTAACAAAATTAAAAATATTTTTATTGCACCTTCTCAACGGTAATAGTCCAGAGTTAGCAAAAGAAAGTGCGTGTCCGGTGGAGGGTTGTAGGAGGCCGCGCTTATACATTTAAACTTGGCTAGATGCTAAAACTTTAAAGTTTAGAAGGTGCAAAAACAATATTTTTATTTTTGTATGAAAATAAAAATTTAAGAAATTTTATTTTTTATTGTTACAGATGTTGTTGTTATGATGTAAATAGTATATTCCCAAAAGGTTTTCAGTAAATTAAAAATGACCTTAACTAGGGCGCTTCGCTCGGGTTCGTCCCTAGCTTTTTTTATTTATGAATCGATTGAAATAAAACAAATACTTAATATTAAGTGAAGCTTACCACATTAAATTACTGAAAACCGCACCCATACGGTTAAGCCGTTTCCGAGGTTAGCGCTCACAAACACATAGATAAACAGACAAAAATTCTAAAAATCATTAATTTGGATTCTATTGCGTTTATAAAGTTCCTTATTTCCCAGTAACTGAAATGAATAAATTTATCACTGAAAACGAAAACAACTTGACATATAAAAAGATTGCCCTTATAAACTCGCAAGATTAGGTCCTAAAAATGAATCACTCACTGCCATGTCTGGAACACTGTCTATTTCGATTTACAGAAAACACATTTTGTTCGTGACAGCTTACATAAAAGTAATGATTTTCAAGTGTGTATCAAGTGACAACAAATATCGTTAGACAAAAATTCCTTAACTCCAATAAAAATTCACACTTTTCATTTTAAATCAACAAACTGATTAAGTATTGTTTTTATAGACTTGATGACACGTTTGGATCAGTTTCTAGTGACGCTACTTGCTGTGCCAGCGGTTGCGGGTTCTAGTCCCGCTGGGGACATTCATTTGTGATGAGCACGAACTTTTGTACTCCAGTCATTGGTAATATTTATATTAGCGACTCACCCTCGCTTGGCTCGGGTTCCTCCCTAGGTACGTTTTAACGGTAAGTATAAAATACAAATCTTTGAATTTCTCGGTTTTTCTGTACAATATGTTTGTGTTATATAATATACCTGTATTATACATATTATAAACCTCTTCGCACTCATCACTTGACTTCATCACTTCTACACCAATAGTACTTGAGCGGCTCTGCTGCAATATTATGATGTTCAACTGTTTATATTGAATGTCTCATGCTTAAGTATTCATATACCTACTATTCTTTTATACTTATTTTGTTTTATATCTTAAATACTTAAGAGAAATAATCTGGTTCTATTCAAGTGGCGTGGAGGTATGTAGTGTATCAACTATCTGGTATCCATAACACAAGCCTCGTAGCTTACCATGGAACTAGATGGCGCTGTGTGTCCCAACATATTTATTTATTTATTTATAACCCTTGTCTCTATGTCACGTGTCAATTAAACAGTTGGGGTGAGAGATCATGCGCAGGAGCGAGAGCTTTAAGTGCTCTCAGTAGCATTGGGGTGAAACACCGCCAACTTTACTATCACTGAGAATTTCTAACAGAAACACACACTATAAATGACTCAACAACCCTTAGAGCTGTATACGAGTGTATATGAACGCGATAATTAACATATGCTGAAGGCAGTGATAGCCCAGTGGTAACACGCTCTCTTAGGAAACCGAGTGAAGCGGGTTCAAATCGCGGGTCTCGCACTGCTATTTTCATGTGCAAATAATTTCCAACATAATTGCCACTTGTCTTAACGGTGAAGGAAAACATCGTGACGAATTTTTTTTTAATATTAAGAATAAAAACATTACTTATTTTTTTATTAATATATCTAGGAGGATAATCAAAATTCCAAGAATGAAATAAGAAATCAAATCAGTTCCAAGGTTTTATTTAAATAGTATCTATTAAGGTATGATAATATAATATACTATACGCTTAAGCAATACTGAACAAAACAATAAAATTTACATATAAACTTCTATAGGTACTGTAGAATAAATTATTAAAAACCATCGCGGTAACAAATTGCATCGAATTAAAAATATTATTTACATTAACTCAAAATCACTTAAGCTTTCGCCTAAACGAAAAAATAATAATTAAAAAAAAACAAATTATAATCAGATCAGAGTACACCAAAGTATGTAAAATTACAAAACTGTATATGTATCGAAAATTCCAAATATGGCCTATAATTATAAACGTCCAAATAGTTAAGAATACTTAGGCATAGATATCAATTCCTATTCTATTCGTTTGTATGCGAGATGTGAAACAATTCCGATATTTAACTATATATTTAGCATTATAAAGAAAATACCACGAAAACAAAGCTAAGTAGAGTTCCGGAGAACAAAGTGGCATCTCAAATAGTAAGCACTAGGATGTAATTTAGTGAATTATTAAAAATGGTACAATATTGTTACAAATTAATTAAATAATGTAGTAACACTTTTAAATATAATTTCCTATAATTACATTTGTTATATACGACTTTGTTCTCCGTAACCTTAAATGACCACATGATTTAAAAAATTTAGATAACAAAAAAAATCGATAAATAAAAACCAAACACAGATATCGATGTATTTATTTATTGATTTTTTCATCAATTTCATCGGATCAAAAATCACAGATTAATCTGGTCGTCGAAATTTTCATTTATTTGAGCTAAAAACGAAATAAAAATAGAATTAATGTGCCCGATATGTTTTAAAATTTACTTCATCGGTGTAAACTATTAAAAGTACTTACTTAGCAATATTGCTGAAAATTTAACCTACGATCCATCACAATACAACTCTAAATCAAATACCATGCAGTCTTAACTTTAGTCCAATTCAAATACGTCAATCACAAAATGTCGTCAATGACAAATTAGGCGTTTTAAATATGAAGTATATAAAATTTTACATTCAAAATTAATTATTCATCATCAATTTAAAACAATTTTTTAATAAGTATAAAGAGTAAAGGAAAAATTTTATTCGTCACATGCAAATCGATATATAAAAAAAATCGATTACATACATACATATATTGATGACGTCACACATACGCCAAATATAAGATTTCTTTATAACTCTATACAAATCGGTCAAAAGCTTTTTACACGCTCTCCAATAAGCCTATACAAGCATCTAGACTAAACCATAAACTAAATTTAAATAATAGATCCATACACTACGATGGAACTTTTTCAATAATTTATAAAGAAACCGAATATTGGCACAATCTACAATTTCGCTACATTTGTGACTCGATTATTATTAATCTACGTCCAAAACTGGGAAATATCACTTTATACGGGAATATATCGATGTTCTCGTTATAGAAAACGAATGCGATTACGAATGATACAATTAATTAATTTAATCGATAACTGTATGAATTTGAACCTTTACTGCTGTTTCTATGAGACCTAACTTTGGCTTATCTACGTTGACTTTCTTTTATGACAATCGCTAATTATACATAAAAAATGAATCGCTGAATGTGTTGCTAAGCGCAAAACTCGAGAACGGCTCGACCAATTTGGCAAATTCTTTTCTTTTTCAAATGCTCATTTAAGTTCAAGGAAGATATTTATAAAAGGAAAAATTGGAAAAAAAATCACGGAAAAAGGTAAACACGGAACACGTTTTTTAATTTTCTATTAATGTTAGCGATAGTAGAAAGTTAACTTCTATATATAGGTAATATAATCATTTTACCACTAAAATAATTGAGCAATATGGCAAAAAATGTATTGAATTTAATCATTATCATTCGTAATCACCATATCAATATATATATATAAATATTTATATAATATACTAAGCTCAAACTCAATTAAGTATACATTTCTTTCTTATTAAATGTGTTAGTTGACAGAAAAGCCATTACTAAAGGGCAGTGATAAACAAACCCAAGACCAGTCTGATCAATTGCTTTAATTATGCCAAAATGTACCGACAACAAATAAAGAAGGTGTTTTATAATAAAATAATAGTAGATAATCAAACATTAAACGGTACAAATATTAAAATATCCAAAGATGTCCGAATATTTTCCGAATAATTAAAGAGAAGCAAACAAGAAAATAATAAATGTAATATAATCTTTAAAAAAAACATTATTATTAAAATTTTTGGAAATCTAAGAACTATTCCGTTCAGATCTCATATGTAATTGCGCTTTCTGCTTTCCTTCTATATAACACGAAACTAACTTTTTACAACAAGACAATAAACACCGCCATCTTATTTTATATTACGTGAGGCATATACTATCAAATCTCACTAGCATTTTGGCATAACTAAACTATTCAATTAAAAAAAACGAGACACAAAATAAACTATATGGTCGTTCAATTCTTTTGTCTCTCTCTTGAGTCCTCCCTACAAACGCCTCTTGGCGGGGAATCCCTGCCCTTTTTAGTAGTTTTCCTTGACCTTTTAAACTTGGCGACGTCATCGCCGAAAACATCACCTGTCCTTAGGGCGGATATGAGGTCATCAAATTCTCCTTTCTGTCCGTTTGTCAGTGTGCCGTCTCGGGAGCTGTTTTCCGAGTGTCCATTGCAGTCGGTACTGTTGGATTTCCCTAGAGATTTCCCGACTGAGCTTAGCAGACTAGAGCCTTGTTTCCTCTCCATTGTACGTTTCTTGAGCTGTGGAAAATATTATTATTACATTTTTTGTATTAACGATGGATATGGTTAACTAGAAATATAATAGAAAATTGCTTTTCTAAAGTTTAAATATTTTATTAGAGCTTATACTCATGACTAAAACAATAACATAAAAGTCAATTGTGAATTTACAAACTGTATCCTATTACTAAATTGAAACCGCACGTTTACGATCATAATATATATCCGTATTATAATATAATATCATAAATGCGAAAGTTTGTGAGTATGTATGGATGTTTGTTTGTTACTCTTTCACATCAGAACGGCTGAACGGATTTGGATGAAATTTGGCACAAAGATAGATTATAGTCTGGAATAACACATAGGTTAATCTTTTTATCTCTAAAAAATGTACGGTTTCCGTGGGATAGGTTCGTTTTTGTTTTCCTAGAGGCAAATCCGAGCGAAGCGAGAGTGAGCCGCTAGTAATTCATATAGTTGTATACACCACCCATACACCCCCCCCTCCCACCCCCCCCTCATCCTCCCTCACCTACCCCCTCCACGGGATACACTACACATATGTAAGTTTAAATACATACATATAAATATAAACACCCATGACTGGAGTACAAGCATTCGTGCTCAGTGCACAAATGAATGCCCCCAGCGGGACTCGTACCCGCGACCGCTGGCATAGCAAGTAGGGTCACTACAAACTGAGTCAAACGTGTCGTCTAAATACTCTCTTCTCTCTCTCTCTCTCTCTCTCTCTCCCACTCACCTCCTGCTCATGCCTGGTGCGCCTCTCCTCCTCGTCGCGGCGGCGGCGCGCGGCGTCACACTCGGCGCGAGCCTCGCCCAGCTGCTGCAGGAAGGCGTCCAGCGCGCCGAACAACTGCTCGGGAGATGCGCTCGGTTCCTCCCCGAATGCGTGCGCGCATGCTTCCAGGCGACTCTTCATGTCCTGTGGGGGATATACACATTGCAGTGTTGATACCGGCTTTATAAGCTACTAGCGATTCACCCTTTGTTTGATTCCCGATACGAACTTGCATCCCCATTTTCATCCCCTTAAGGGATGATTTCCGGGATAAAAACTATTTTACTAACTGACTTTTCATATCATGAGATTTAAAAAAAAATCTTATTTTTAGTATTTGTTTTATTAATTTCTTCTATACAAAGCTTTTCCTGACAACAACAAACACAAAAAAAAGAAATAACCAATTTGGTGCAGACGATCTAAAGTTATGCGCATGTACATACATTTCGATGATTCATTTTTATAGATTATAATTTGTGAAAATATGAAAGTTTGTATGTATGGGTGTGTATTTGTTAACTTTCACGCTATAACGGCTGGACGGTTTTAGACATTTACTAGTAGATATACTATGATCTAGAGTAACATATTAAGTTGATAGTTATTTTATATTTTTACAAGAAAAGTTTAGAAAGTTTCTTGAGGCTTTAAGCGTATAAATTGATTGACCATATTTATAGACGAACAAATATTCAAACAAACAGACAAAAAAACCCAAAACTTAATCCCATCACCATTCCCAACTCCCAACTAACCTGGAACAAATCCTCGAGCTGTGTGAACGAGCATACAGCATGAGCGTGGAACTCCCTCATGACGGGTACGAAGGCGTCGTGGGGCTGCGCGGGCGCCGGCAGCGACGCGTGGTAGTCCAGCTCCTTTGACACCTCGCGCAGACCATTCCTCAGGGCGCCCACGTCCTTCTCTAACTGGTCGACGCACACTTTGGCCGCGGCACGTACGTGAGGCAGATCTTCTTCGAGTAGGAGAACGTCTTTGAACTGGAATAATTAATTATATTATAACAAGAGGCTATTTGTTGTAAAAGGAAGACAACTCTATAACTATTTACCCAATTTTGGATATAATTGACTAATCGCAATGCTATTTAATAACATTCAAATAAGAGCGCTAAGGATGTGTATACACACATAGTTCCATCAATGTACGTTAAATTTCAGTATATTATGGTGACTGCATCGATCAAAAAAGTATTAGATACACAATCAGCGACAAAAAAATGTCCTCACCGAATGAGCGCTCATTTGAGCGCGCTTTTAATTTTGTATTTGTGAAAACAACTTTAAGCATTGCAATTAAAATTCAATTTACATGTGTTCTTGTTGTATATTTATTTCAACTGGAATAATTACCTAAACACAATCGGTGACAGTTTTAAGAGAACTTTTGCATGGGATCGTATATTTAGTACTTTTTTGATTTATGGCTGACTGTGACAAATACGATCAGTAATTTAAACTAACGAAACAAAATGACAATTTCCCACATATATGCCAATTCAGTGTCTAAAGCGTGATAAAATATAAATAATCTCGAACATTTCAAGCTATTAACAAACGAACGTTTCCCAACAAGAAAAACAAACAAACAAACAAACAAACAAACAAACAAACAAACAAACATACCTGTGTCTCGAGCAGCTCGACGAGGTAGTGCAGCAGCGTGGTGTTGCGCGTCACGCTCGACTTGGTGTCGGCCAGCTTGTTCAGCGACGACAGCCGGAAGCCGGACGCATTGCCGCGCGCGCCGCTGATCAAATTCAAAATATTTTATCAAGCATTAAATTATTACAATGTTTTACTGAACGCCATGAGTCTACTACCAGTTAGGAAAGAAGAAGCCTCAGACCTGAGAAGAACTGGCGAAAGAAACTCAGCGGGACTAATATTATTTCATTCTTTTTTTATAAAGTTAAATTATAAATTACGATATTTCTTTAAAATTGAAGTCATGTCACACATTGTAATATATATTAAAACATGTGAAAATCTTCGTTTAAATATTTACCTAATATGAATTATCAGTTTGGAACAATAAATTAAAAAAAAATATTATTATTATGCCCAAATTCATAAAAGTACAAAGTATAATTTGTATTCAGTATGTAGATTTTTATATTTGTTACGTGATATTGGCAAAGATAATGGTGAATTAAACTATGGAAGCACTTTGTGTTTCTATAACTCTAAAAGCTTTATAGGACTTTCGCAGTAAAACATCAGATGTAGAAAAAATAGCTTACGTGTTCTCCTCACTGGGGTATAACACAAGAATTTATGAACAAACAATTTTTGGACTAAGATCCCACTGCAAGATTGCTACGTTCATTGCGTATTTAATCGAAATCAATTTTTTATATATAATAATAAAAGGGACAATATGTTTTGACCGCGGTGCCTATTCAAATTTGCCCGCTAGTATGTTTAATTAACTAAATAATAGTTGACTTTTTGGAATAAAAACGATGCATTTGTTATTACAATGAATTATACTCCACTTCACAGAACTATACATAGAGATCTTGAGAAATGATAGCTGCCGTTGCGCATTTGGCCGCAACCTCTTCGCAGTCAGGTGTAAGCGGGTCATATTTTGGTATGTTAAGCGTTCATAGCGTACATGCATCATTTATATATCAAATTAAAGCTAATTTTTTTCTGTACCTGGTAAACTACGTCTGCCTATGTAAAAGTGGCCGATGACATATAATATTATATTCTTTCCTTCTTTTCTTTCCTTTGCGGCCACTTTTACATAGCTGAGAGGTATTTTATCATGCACAGAAAAAAATTAGCTTTAATTTGATATATAAATGATGAATATAGGCCATGAAAACTACGTCTGCCTATGTAAAAGTGGCCGATGACATATAATATTATATTCTTTCCTTCTTTTCTTTCCTTTGCGGCCACTTTTACATAGCTGAGAGGTATTTTATCATGCACAGAAAAAAATTAGCTTTAATTTGATATATAAATGATGAATATAGGCCATGAACGTATAAATGTAACAAAACACTTTTAATGACTCGCAACCACTTTTGCGGCCACTTTTACATAGGCAGACGTAGTTTACCAGGTACAGAAAAGAATTAGCTTTAATTTGATATATAAATGATGCATGTACGCTATGAACGCATAAACATACCAAAATATGACCCGCTTATACCTGACTGCGAAAAGGTTGCAGCTAAATGCGCAACGGCAGCTATCATTTCTCAAGATCTCTACGTATAGTTCTGTGAAGTGGAGTATAATTCATTGTAATAACAAATGCATCGTTTTTATTCCAAAAAGTCAACTATTATTTAGTTAATTAAACATACTAGCGGGAAAATTTGAATAGGCACCCCGGTCAAAACATATTGCCCCTTTTATTATTGTATATAAAAAATTGATTTCGATTAAATACGCAATGAACGTAGCAATCTTACAGTGGGATCTCGATCCATTTATAACAGCACATAGCTCGAAGTCAAGATCCGGACCCAGAACAGATGAGTATACCAGACGACCTTACAATTTCCATCCACGCACCGGTTCATATAGTAGCTCAAAGAGAGGTTCCAAATCTAGGACAGATGAGCATACCAGACAACGCCCTTTTTTTTTTTTTTTTTTTTTTAACGTTGGGAAATGCATTTACGCACGACGTGTGGGACACACCGGCGTAATACAGCCAGTACTACCCACAAAAACCCAACAAAACCTTCCCCCGTCTTAGTGGGGCGTCGCAGGATCGCTTACGCATTCAACTACGACGCCCCGACGGCAGGTCTGCCGAAGCAGACCACCACAACCATGGGGTTGCTCCACAGTTCACTCTGCTATCAGAGAAATACCAGGAGCAACCCGCATGGTACACCGCCCCCCGAAGAGGGCCACCTCCTACCGCCCACCGAAGTGGGCAACCTCCCAGTGCGTTTCTTAGCTTCGCGCCCGGTTGGATTGCCGGGCACTACTGAGCCCCCCCACCACGACAAGGTGAACGCACGTTGGGGGGGTACCAGACAACGCCCTAACAACCCCCGCGCACTCACCGGTTCATGTAGTTGCCGAGCGCGAGCACGATCTCGAGCAGCGCGCGCAGGCGGCGCGAGCGCGCCATGTCGCGCGCCGCGCGCAGCACCACGGCGGCGCGCGCGCGCGCCTCCGACACCGCCGCCGTGAACTTCTTTTTGAACAGCAGCGTGCGCACGCGCTGCGAGTAGTGGGGGATCCTGCGTGCACGTACACAATCATTTATTTATATACTTTTGAAAAGACGAGTTTTTCGCCAACTCTAATACTAAAACTAACATTAAAATTAAATTTTGAAAATGTAAAAGTGACGATTATATTATATGATGATATGATAATAGCCTTTATTGACTGACAATCATAGGAGTTGCATTTCATCTTATTACTACTTAATATTAAACAGAAATTTTTATTTGTAAAAGTAAATATAAACAATATTTTTTTTATCTAAGACACCGGTTTCTTGATTGTTTTGCTTTCCAGCATAGGCCTCCCCAAGTGTTCTCCACAACGATTTATCCCTTGCTTTCCTCATCCAAAATGTTCCTGCCACCTTCTTGATATCATCTTACCATCTTCGGAATTGTCTACCTCTACTTCTCTTTTTATTTTATTTTTAAAATACATCGATCGAAATATATTTGATTTGCTTTGCATCGGCTGGCACCGACTTCGAAAGAAACTTCGACGAATTGAGAACCTCCTCTTTTTTGGAAGTCAGTTAATTAACACCGATAATAATTAATTTGGATCCGAACTGAACTAGGTTAAAAACCTGTGTTTCAAGTTATGGTTTAACAATGCATTTTTTACTGGGACAAAAGGGAAACATACAACGTTGTAACTGAATAGTTTAACAATTTTGAATTTTCGCTACTCAATCATTAATGCTTGAGCAAAATGGTAGAAAATTACTTTAAGAACAATCTAATAATTTATAATATCATTATCTACATCATGAAAACAGACGACTCACTTAGATATCTCATATAGGAACCGATCAGCTCGCGCCATGCTGTCCAGCTCATCCTGGTGCTCCTCCAGCAGAGCCGCCTCCTCAGCACTGGGCGTGAACTTCAGGAGCTGTTCCACCATGTCCAGGGGGAGTTGCTCGCTGCTGTCCATGCGGAGGATTGCTCTGGAACACGATGTACATGTAATAAGTAATGTAAATTAACCTACTAATATTACACAAAAACTTAAAAAAACAAAAGATTCCTACGAATTGAGAACCTCCTCCTTTTTGAAAGTCGATTAAAAAACGCGAACGTTTGTGAGGATGTATGAATTTACGATTAAATGGTATATATAATTCTATTTGATCACAATAAAGATTTTGTGGTTTATTACCGATGGATGTCAGTAAAAATTATGATAATTCGTGATTGTGAAGTGAATAGAGCCGACGCCATTATAATTCCATTGTTTATCTGTACGTATTGTATAAGTACTCTACATGTCCTTTAAAAACTTGCTAAGTTCTCCTAGACATGCAGGTTTCCTCACGATATTTTACTAGCTAATTGAAAATGGTAAGACTCTGATTTTGTACCCGCTTCACTTGGTTTTCGTGTTACCACTGGGCTACCACTGCTTTACATACATATATACAAATAAAAAAAAGGAACTCACCTACAAATTTCCTCATCAGTCATTTTTAGTTTGGAAAGTAATATAGTGCAATTCTGAGCGCGACGCCCATCTATAACTGATAGGATTTTGGTACGTGGCTTAGAACCTAATTGCCTTAAATCTTCTACTGAGCCTTCGTTCTGGAATAAAAAAAAACAAATTGTAATAAATTGTAGGTACCTTATTTATAAACTAATATGAATTTGCAATTTTAGATTTTTTGCCTCTTCGTCAAAAAACACCTCCATACTATTAAATACCTTCTTCTCTGAAGTTTATCAAATAAACCATATTTTATAAAAAAACGCGTGTGTGTGTACTAATGTACGCACGTAAAAAAATTTACTTCTATGGTGTAACAGAACAAAAATAGCTAAAGATTTCATCCCGTATGTCACAACTGTCTGTTTGTAAAAGAAATGCAGCTAACTTCATCATGTCGCTTTGTGGCTGTCGGTGTTTACAATTTGTAAACATTAAAGAGTTCACTTCAATCGTCTAAAAGGTGTTTAATTCTGAAAAAATACTGGAGGATTCCTGTTGAATTTCTTGCTTTAGAAGTCCATTTTGTTTTAAATTGATGATGAATCAAAACAAATGAAATAAACTAGTCTATCAAGTAAATAAAACAAAAACCCACCTGTACACCATTCTTCTGATAAGCACAAAACATCCTATCAATTCCATGGAGATCTATGGCGTTATACAACTTCGTATCGTCCAACTCTTGCCATATTGTTCCATGTAGCTTCGTATCGGGGAGTTTGCTCCAGTTGAAGCTCTTCAGGGGGTTCCCGGGAGTGGGTACGTTCTTCTTTGGACGAGGGGGTGCTGGGGCGAGAGGTGCGGGGGGTGCTAGCGGTGCGGGAGGGGGGAGGGGTGCTGGTGGGCACAGGGAGGGGGGAGGTGGGGGTGGAGGTGCTGTACAAGTTTCTATTACTGCGCTCTTCAAGTTGCTGACCTAGGTTGAAATTGTATTGGTTCAAATTGGTTTATTTCGTCAGAGTTAGAGAGAAAGTTATTTTCAAATACTCTTAAAATTATTTGAGCCTTTGCCTAAAAATTGAGACAATAAAAATGTAGATTTTAATTCAATTCAATTCGTCTGCAAAACGTGCTAGTAATGTAAATTTAAAGAAAACTATATTTTAAAAATAGAAAAAGCTTAAATAGAATTCGCAAACTTTTCTTTCAAGTTATTTAATTCTATCAACTACTAACATTCTAAGAATAAAAAAACTTAATTTCCTAAATCAAACTCATATATTACGTACATATAAGTAAAATTAAGACCGGCAATTTATTAACATCAATTTTTTTTAATTCAACAAAAAAATCATTTTAAATTAGCATTATTAATTATAAAATTAATAATAATATAATTTAACGTATCATATAATCTTAAATAACATACCTTTGCATCATCAGGTATGCTTCCTTCACTGACCAGTTTCTCGAATCTCGTACGTTCAGCTCGCTCTTGGTTCAACTAAATATTTAGAAAGTAAAATATCTTTTAAAACGCATTCTTGTAAATATTGTAAGGTAAATTTTCTACGTGATTTTTCAAACTTTTACCAAATCAATAAATATATTATTACAACACTAGTGTAAAAGCTACAATAATTGATATCTGTAATTTTATTTTATGTTTATATTTTATAAACATTGCAAATTTAATACTTTCTTATATTCATATTATTTAGAAGATTTGACATTTTAAATAAAACAATGTTTTCGGATTTTTTGATGGATTTATTTTGATTATTGGTTCCCGACGTTCATAATCAAAATAAATCCACGAAAAGATCGGAAAACATAGTTAATTTGAATTTAAAAAGTTTAAATTTCATAGCCCATAATTTATGAGTTTAGACTTAGACTTAAGACAGCTTAAGGGGCTCTGAAAGAATACTATACCTTTCTTTTTCTCTCTCCACTTATCTCTCTCTCTTACCTGCTGCTCTAGCTGGTGCGCACGACACGCCGCCGCGCGAGCTCTTTCCGTGCACTCCATATGGGCCGCAGTTTCCCTCTCTAACCTCTCCTTCAGTCTGCCTACTACTCCCTCCAACTCCTCTCTCTCCTGCGTGTGCTGGTCCACTTGCTTCTCCTGTTAGTTGTTAGTATGATAATGGACTGTTAGGTTTGTACTGTGAGCGATGACGGTTTTAAATTTTGTCAATTTTCTAATAATAAGAGTTTCACAGTAATTATAATATATGAAAACTAAACGAATACAGCAATAATTTTTATTTTTTAAATTATATTTAATATCTTTATTAATAATAATAATAGAACGTCCAAATAAACTTCGCTCACAGTCAATTAAAATGAGTGTAAAATATTTTATTTAAATTAGGATGGATCTTTTATTTGTTAATTAATATGATATTGAAAAAAATATTAAATCCATAACAATAATAATAATAGTATTCCGTAAGCACCTATATCCTCTCCATGGGGCTTTAGAAAAGCCAATAGGATGGCGTTATTCAGTTAAACTGAATTATTTATGAATATGTCACTTAGTTAAATGATTTTCAAGACACCGCAACCCCTTATTGAAAAATAAAAACTTTGACGATTCAATTTATTTTTATAAAAAAATGGGTGCGTGTAACCTTTACGCGCGGTTGAAATAAAACTTCTTTGGCAAATATCGAAATTAAATTAAGAGAAATCAATAATTAAATAAGGCATATTAGGCATATTACAATCAAATATTTATAGAATATCATATACGGAAAGAATATTATATTATATTATATTATATATTTCAGACAATAACAACTGTTACCATGGCAACATGGCAATGTATTCTATCTTATTCTCTCGTCCGTTGTCACATTTTCGTTTCATTGCGTTTCAAAGCACAGCGATTCTAAAGAAGTTTCACTTCAATAATAAAAACCATGTTTTAAACTTCACATATTAAATATTGAATCGTCAAAATTTTATAGGCTCTCTTTGAATAATATAGACTCCATACCTTTTTAGCCAACTCCGTGGCCAAGTCCACATTTTCTCTCTCCAGATTTTCCGCTTTGGTTCTCGCCGCGACTAATTCTTCCTCTTTAGCTAACAAATGAACGATTTCCCCAACGTTTATCTCAAGTGGTGCTACATCCGGATCGTAGACCTGGAAAATGAACGTAAGAATAAAAACCTTCTTTTTTTTTGAAGAAAACAATTGATCAGTCTTACAGCAATACCACGCTGACCAATTTGCCGATTAAAAATACCTTTATCAGTAGCGCTGTTAAGTTATTCTCAGCTACTAAGTAACTAATTATTATCAATCCATTCATATTTCATATAGCAATAAAACTTACTTTAGCAAGAACTAAATCTTAATCAGTAGTTGTTACTCTACGCAAACAATTAATTTTTAATTCTATTCCCACAACCATAAGGCTCATTTTAGCAATACTTGGGCCTTAATTAACCACTGTTAAGCTTTATAACTAAAAAACCGAATCTCAACCCTATTTTTTGAGCATTAGGACTCACTTTATCAGTACTTGAGCCTTAACCAATACCACTGTTACACTGTAACGAAACAATCAAATTTCAACCCTATCCTCTAAGTAATAAGACTCACTTTGGCAGTATCGGAGCACGTGTCAGTGGCGCTGTCGCGGTCACTATTCGCACGCGATGGCTGCTGCAGTACTATTTGTTGCACGACGCGGTCCAAGAGCAGCCAGTGTTGCGAATGCGGGTTGTATTCCACTGGGAATAAAAGTTTTATTTTAAATTTAGTTATATTTTATAATCAAGACTCTCCATGTTTGCTGTAAAGTATTCGAAACGTCGCGTCAGGAACCAAAAATCAAAATATAACCGCTAAAAAATCCACTAAAATCGATACTTTGGCGTATATCTAAGAAAGTTTAGTTTTATAGCACAATACTAAGGATGTTATATTATTGGTTTTTTTCTGTCTACTTTGTTATAAGCAAATTTTTTTAACGATAAGCGTCACATAGCGCCCGCGGCGCCACACGCGTACTTGATTTGTGTGTAATTTACTTATCCTTTTGTCATTATCAGCAAAAACGTAGACTTTAATTTAATAGCATCCGTTATCAGCTGACATCTTCCAAATTACAGATTCATAGTCTCAAGTAGTTTTCCAAGTTCCAGCTCAAGTAGGTAAATATACCAAACAATACATAAATAACTAGATAAAAACAATGAATTAACTTTGTAACTTGTACAGCCCTTTTTAACGTCCCACTGCAGGGCACGGGCCTCTCTTCAATACGAGGGGCATCAGGCCATAGTCCACCACGCTGGCCAAGTGCGGGTTTACGAATTGCAGATGTCTCTCAAAAACTTGCTAAGTTCTCTCAGACATGCAGGTTTCCTCACGATGTTTTTCTTCGCCGTAAGACAAGTGGTAATCATGTTAAAAATGATTGGGACGTGAAAATATCAGAACTATGTAACTTACATGGAAGTAATAGGAGATGTTCCAAAAGAGACAATAAATGTGGGTAAGCCGCGGTGTGGCTCAATTTCCGTCGCAACAGCTCAAACATGGCCGCCGCACTCTTAGTATCGACGTGCTGTTTGTCGAACCTTCTAGCAAGTTCCCTTTCGTCTTCGTTGCGAACCATTTCGAAGAACTCGATATGCCTATCGAGTGTCTCGTTTTCGTACTTTCGAAGTTTCTCGATTACTGAAGTGAGACAAATTATATAATAATCAATAATTATATTAAATAAACAATATAAAAACAATAAACAATACACATAAATAATTACAATTTACTAAATTTGAATAGAAAACCCTAAACATAAAAAATGCAAACTCTTTCAAAAATACTTTGTAAACCAACCTATAATCTATACATTTAATAGAACTTAATTAACCCCAATAATTCCAAATTATTCCATTAAACAAAAAAAAAACAATTCTAATCAACTTACCAGGCTGTATACCAAGCATGAGTAGCTCATATCTCAAGTGTAGCCTAAACTCCAGACTCTCCTCTCCAGGTCCATAGTTCAGTACGGCGTTTACGAAGGACACGATCGCCGTTTTCAGACCTAGGTCGTCGCGATACGCGCCCGTGCTACGGTCTAACTCGTTCACTATGCCCTGGAATCGAGCCCTTTCCCCGGCATATTTTTGGTAGTGGATCATAGCTTCTAAAACCTGGAGAAATAATGAACGTATTGATAATATGATACTATACTAAATGCATATGAAATTATATATGGTGCTTATAAGAAAAAACATAATTTTATAAAAATTTTATTTGTCTGTTTGTTCCGACTAATGTCTGAAACGCTGGGTTAATTTTGTCGGAACTTTCACTGGCAAGGTAGCTGATGTTGTGAGAAGTAACTTAGACTACTTTTATTTTAGAAAAAGAATTAGGGTTCCGTTGAAAATAATTAAAACCGTAAAAGGACCCACACGAGCAAAGCGAGGGCAAGTCGCTAGTTCTAATAATAAAAACGTTAAATTTAAATCCTATTTGCGTGTCTTACCTTTTTATGCCCCCCTGGTACGAGGCAAACAGCCCCTAATATCTCCAAGGCGGCCACTTTAGTCTTTACATTCTCGGTGTCCATAGATTGCGCTATTAGATCGATGCTTGTTGGGTGCGCCAGAACATGTGCCCGGCCGGTCTGAAAATATAGTAAAAGTATAAACAACATTTGCTTGCCAGATAACTTATTTAACATTAAACATCATAAGAAAATAAGCCATTATTACCTGTATACTTTAATATAATTTTCTTACAAAAAGACTGTTTAGAAAAAAATCTACATAATAAAGTCTATCTCTATAATAAATTTTATTCAAATTCGTTCAGCCATTCAATGTGGTGGAGTAATAGACATACATGCATTAATTTTCGAATTTATGTACCTAATCCAATATAATCAAATCACAAAAATCATTGGGTATACATAAGATTATCACAGTAATACAAAGTAAGCAAAATATGATTTGCAATAAAGCGTAATATTAGTAATTTTTTTTTATAATATAAACCTTTTTAAATCCCTACGAATGACCAAAAATAGAGCTAAACTTACAGAGTTGTTCATAAGCGCCTTAATCCCCGCAATAAGATTATGCCTCGTCACAGCGTCATCTCTTGGCGCTCGTTGCAAGGACTCCAGTAACGCTGCAAGACCGCCTTGCTTGATGAACCGAAGGACAAAACTGTGCGCTCTAGTTCTAAGGGCCGTCTTCAAGCCATCGACTAGGGCGCACGCTTCTGTTGGCGTTACTCCTTCTGAAGATGCAAATGCCTGAAATAATATAGCATTCATTTGAAATATATTAAAATATTTTTTTTGGTACCTTTGTTCGTCAATCGTTATTAGAAGGTAATTAAATATTATTATGTATGAAAAGAGTAAAACATTGCTATGTACATTTAAGTTTAAAAAAGTGGTTAATAATATTTATACTTTAAGTACTAGACATTCGAAATATTCTAGCATGCCATAGCTATGATAGAAACGAGCGTTAAACGTATGACCTAATTGGCACTCGAGCCTGCCAAAATTTAAGGAAATGAAATGCAATGCACAAAATTTATCTGCATTATAGAAATTTTCTATGAAAACCTTCTGTAAAATCGTGCTTTACTACATCCTTCTTTTTCAGAAAAAGAAAAACAAATGTACTTTTTAAGAAGTAGTTGTAACAGATTAATAATTTAAACAGATAATAAATACCTATTAATATATAATACATATTAGCTAATTATAACAGTATATATTCAATTTACATCAGCAATCTCGTTAAGAGCTTTGATGTAATCCTCGACTTGCGGCGCAGTGGCTAACGGGGGTGCTTGACCGGGTGGCGGTCTTCGACTGCAGTATATTTGCCACTTTTTAGCTGCTGGCAGATCCATCATGGCTGCTTTGTTAACTGCTGTGAGGTCTAACTCTTCCTGCAAACAAGAAAGACAAAATGTTACACAAAAATATTTTTTTAATTTATATGAATATTTTTCATAAAAGTATTTTTCGCCTTTTTTGTTTATTTTGTTTTGATTTAGCAATTTTTGTTCATGATATTTCTTAAGCTTTACAGTAAACATGATCACTGATGACAATAAGATATTTGACGCCTTAAAAATCATAGTTATCACAAACGATTTCCAGTCACAAAAAAACGAATTCGGAACATCGGGACAAAGAAATCAAAAAATCAAAACAAAACTGCGAAGAAAATCAAAGAAAATAGCAATATGCGAGAAGTCTAGGCTTGTACAGATATCCTTTTCTTAAGTTTTATTATCAACAAGTCAGCGAATAAAAGACCAACAGTAGATTTCATTTTATTCATAGATACATAATAACAACATGTTACTAATTAAAGAATTAAGCAAAATCATATCAAATGAAACCTTCCAGTCGTAGGAAACATAAAATACTTCCACAATACATTATATCACTTAAGAAACATTACAAATTCCTTTCCTGTAGTACGATAGGTTTAAGAATTAAGGCATTTAATACCATATTCCGGTATTTCAAAAACAGAAACATTGAAATGGAAATCGCTATACGGAACGTCAGTTAGATTAATTAGCTCTTATATAGATAAGTTGGAAAAAAAAGTTTTCTTACGTCAACGTTAACTAATAACGTATAATCGCATGTAATTTACGAACATATTTGGTTATTCAGCACATCTAAATAAGAAGAAAAATGCAACTAAGGCCGGATCTTGGGCCCTTGAAGACCTTCACACAAATTCATTTGATCGAAAGAAAATCTTGTTCGAAAAGTATTTGAGAAGTATCTACATCGCATTTCTGTTGACTTAGGGTTAAATAACAAATATAAAAAAGTTCCGATCAGCATTTTGATTTTGCTATACTTTATTAAAAAAAAACAATTCTCCATAAACCTAGTGTAGATTGTTCGAAAATATTTTAATAGTACTATAATAACACAAATACTCTGCTTACAAATGTTATACAGTACACATAAAATACTCTCTTTTCAGATACGATATCCATACTTATACGCAAACAGTGTATCTCCACAGGCTACTACTGTACTAGCATTATAAAGAGAGGAAGCACGAAGATGGAAACGACACCGCATGGGGCAAATAAAGAAATTATTACAAGTCATCGAAAGTAATCTATGACATAACGGACTATGAACTATCTCTAGGCAGTACTCGCTTTCGTTTTGAATTCACATTACATTGTACGTACTCCAAGTGGCAATCAATTTACTTTAACTTGACGTGCAGGTAAATTATTATTATTTTTTTATTTTATTGTGTCAATATTCTAAAATTAAAAATTCGTGCTACAATCATAAAACAAAGTTAAAATGGCGCGTTTGGCGAAGCAACCATTTACAAGATGTTGCATCCATCCAACCATCTTCGTAGGTTCTGTTCTTCTAAAGACAAATATGTGCTTTGTCGGTTGTTATAAGCATATAAGCTATGTTTTATTTATTAGAAATTATTATTGTAGGCACGTTTATTTTCACCAAACTTTTATTACGAAAAGTAACCAAATCCTCTCGTGTAAGTGTACCTACATATATGTTTTACGAATTCTCCAATAATATAGTATCCATAGTTAGACCGTTGAGTGCACAGCGTTATTTAGGAAAAAGTCAAAATTGTATGTATATCAATACAAATATGTATTTTTTTTTAATTTTTTGTTTGTTCGATCGCAATAATCTCTGGAACTAGCACTAGTTCTATTTAAAGTTCTCCTTGCATTTTATAGCCAGTTTATTGAGAATGGTTATATAAATGGTACCTCAATCACATATTACTCTATAACTATAATTGCTCAGCGGAGCAATTACACACCAATAAACTACGCGGGAGAACACTAGGTGCATAACATCTGTTAAAAATAATTATAAGTTCTTTTTAACTTTGAATTTAAACTTTACAAGTTAATATTAAGTAGATGCGCTATAAGAAAAGTGAAGATGAGATAATACGACAAGTATGTAATAGCATTATAAAGAGTAAGCAAGCCGTCAAAGCTTTGTCAAAACGGAATGTCAAGGTTTGATCGCTCCCATGAAACGAGACCTAGAATCACCGGCACAATAATTCAGATTGGTATTACACATTGATATTACACAACAGAACAATGAACAACAATTTTTAACACTTATTCATTGTTAATCCAAAATTTACAAAGAATTTCTTTAAATTTCTCTAAAATAATGAAATCTCCAAAAAAATTTTAACAATCAATATCTTTAGTATCTCTTCCATTTTATGTGACATTGACGAAGCAAATGGTACTTAAATGGCACGCCTTAAGCGAATTGAATAGACAATGGCTCTAATTCAATGTCAGTTTAGAAGGTACTCAAATTCGGGACTAACGTACTGAAATATTTATGCAAAATTACTATGACAACTAACTTGCGCTCGATTTATAGTTATGCATTTGAATTATGTCAAGACATTTACTGAGATAGCTTAGACATTCAAAACATACTCCTATAAGGAATGTTATAATACGCGTTGATGTACGTAAATTCGCTAAATAGAGGCATGTCATGGCGACGTTTAATATAATGAGCATAATTGCCTCATCATCTCATAACATACAGGTCAGTGCGCAGCTAAAAATTAAACTCAAAACAAACGCAAACAGAGAAAAAAGTAGCAAATAAATTTTGCATTTATATATTACCTTATATTCTGTCGTTACAAAATTATAACTTTTTCCGTTTAACGGCGCAAATGTCTAAACTTAAAGGATAACTATCGAGAACTTTCTACAATTAACACATCTACTATTACTGCATAGCGAGGTGCGAGAATAGTCCACTTCTGAAGTTTAACTTAGCTACGTAAGAAATTAACAGTGAAATCATTATAGGAACTAAAGTTACGATACGATATGATAGCTTGAAAAGGTGGTCAATTTTGAAAAAATCCGTAGTCTATACTAATATTATAAAGAGGAAACATTTGAGTTTTTGTTTGTTTGTTTGTACTGAAAAGGCTCCGAAACTATTGAACCGATTTAGATGAAATTTAGCAAGAAGATAGTTTCAGACCCTCGGAAGGACATAGGATAGTTTTTATCACGGAAATAATCCCTTAAAGGAGTTAAAATGGGGATGAAAATTTGTATGCGGAATCAACCTAGGGATGAACCCGAGGGAAGCGAGGATGAGTCGCTAGTATAGTTTAAATAATAAATTAGAACTCTATTATTCGAATAGCAAAGTCAATAAGATGTTCTTTTTATTATTGTTTGTTTGTAATATTGCATGTGTTTCTTTGAATGTAGCAATTGGCTAAATTTCCTAATATATTACAAATAAACTGATTACTTTTTATCAACAATTTTTTTGTGAAACATTGGTTTCTATGCAATAATATAATGTAATAACTGCAAATAGCTAGAAGAAAAGTTCAATGATTGCTATATAATTCTATACTCTAGGATAGATTTTTTTAAATTATATAGATATCTCCTTTAAAAATAAGTCATATATTAAAAAAAATGAAAATAGGTTTACAATTGGCAAATATATCAAAACAAACATCCGAATTAAGCACCTTCTCTTCTTAAAGTCGGTCAAAAATATCAAAGAATACACCGGAAGTAATGAATATCTCAAAGATCGACGAGAACTTGTCACTTAGTCACTCTTAACTTGATTTTTCGTATTTATTTTATGGAAAATTTAACATATAGGGTATTTCGGAATAGCATGCAACTCAAATAGTTTTATTAAAGCTTGATTGCATATTACGATGTAGAAAGCTCAGTGGCTGGTCAATAACGAATTGTTCGAGTGCAAGTTAAACCAACTTTCAACCAATACATCGAGTCTCCTATTCGTATGATATATTCAAATAAAAATTTCAGCTAGATTTTATCTAAATAATATATGAACGGTTATTATTGTACGCTAATATATATTATGCTTCACTAATTTGAGTCCGCGGCTACGCCTTGCCCAAGTCGATACGTCGATAAAAACTATACACGCCATTTCAAAATTTACGAATCTTTATTCTAAATTAAATAAATTATTTTTTCAGTAGTCAAAAGATACTTTCAAACAAAAACAAAGATTCAATCATATACATACATACACTTACAAAATTATCTATATATAAAAGAAAATTGTGTGGATTCTCATATTGATCCCTATTAAACTAAAAGATGTAAGGCTTCAAAGGCCTTTAGACCCATAGTCCGAGGTCATTTACCCTACCATATAAATCCTTTGTTATTTATAAACTAAAAAATATACACTTGTAAAATATTATACCTACTATACATACATTGTATACTCGTATATAATATGTATACGAATATTATTATTATTATTATAAGAAATCACGTATCTCTTCCTTTTATTTTATTACATTAATTGCAATTTTAAGTAACCGATAGAAAACCGATTGTCGTATTATATATACATATTCCATATATTTTACAAACATAAAGTAGCATTATGCTTTTGTTAAACCTACTTAATTTATTTATTGATTTAGATATAAAAAAAAAACTTGTGTGTGTACGCACGTAAGAAGTTGTACTTCTTTGTCATAACAGAACAAACATTGCTAAAGATTTCATCCCGTATGTCATAACTCATAACTCTCTGTTTGAAATGCAGCTAACTTTATCATCATGTCGCTGTTTAGCTGTCGGTAAAAAATTTACTCTAATAATTTTTTCAAACGTACCAAAAGAATTATAACTTCAAAAAGCTAATGATAATTAATCTGGTATCTCAATTAAATATGGGTGACTGGGATGAACGCGCACACAATGAATGCGAATCGTGACTCCATGTTTTGCCAAGGTTGCCTCTGTCTAATTTATTCTCGATTATTTTAAACTGTAACATAAAGGCACTTCACACTAACTGATACAGAAATATTAACAAAAACTTCTATACTAATTTGAAACATTAT